GTAAGGCCGAAAATTGATGAACTTCTTTATTATGAAGAACACAATGTTTGGGACTAATATCATTAGTTGAAGGAGTAAGTATTACACCCAAACGTTCTGTTCCACACAATGCGTTTCACTTCTGAATGTTTTTCTAAGAGTTGATACATACACTTGCCTTGTATATATGGTTGATGCACGTCGAGTGTCTCAGAAACGCGGGATCTGCAGGTATTAGAGCTGAATACAGTTGTGATTTGACGAATTCTTTTTCTTTTGACTCTTCCTCTTATTTCGTTTTTCAGCTTAGCATTGTGTATACACAACGTAATTAACGGATTCTGACATCAGCCACATATCTCGGACCACCCCACGAGTCTCTCTTAACCGTTCAATTAACGTTCCGCTTGGTGTTGCCACACCTGTCCGCCATCTGCTGTTGAGATACTGTAACGGTTCTCGTCTGAAAAGAGGACTTCTCCCACTGCTGGTGCTGTGCTACCCACTGAAGACGGTCCAGGAAACAAAGAAGAAGACTGAAAGGGTATGATTTCTATTTACTTACTTCTTTTGTTAGTAAATAAGCGGCCTTCAAAAGCGACTATGCTTGTCGTAAGAGGAGACTAACGGGTGGTCAGACTAGCTTGACTTGGTTGATACATGCCATCGTATCCCAATTGTGTGGATTGAGTGTGGCGATAAATAACAAAAAACAAACAAACAGTTGTCTCAGATTATTTATATTTAAAAACATGTATATATTTGTTAAAAGTATGTTTCTATTTATACTGCTCACACAAAGTAGGGGATATTGAAAAGTTACGACGAAAAGCTTCAGAATTATGTTTAATTTTCATTGGGAAACAATAATAATGTGGAAATAAGGATGTTAAGAAACAGTTTTGAAAGTAATGACTTTGATCAAGCTGCAATTTCATTTTGTCGACACTGGAAAATTCATGAGGGGTAGAAACCCAAAAGTTGTGCTTCTATGCTTTCTTCCGGCTTGGATCATCCCAATTGCTCTCAATCTTTCGTCTTCTCGTAACCTTCGCATTGTGGAAAGTGGTGAAGTGATGGATGAACTTGGTCCAAGACCCATGTTTAACACCCATTTTTGCCCGTGAGGCACGTGGATTTTGTCATTTGCACGTGTGACACAAGATGTGATTTCTCATCCCCACCCCCTGGTACGTTTGAGTGCAATTTTCCTGGATGCAAGGGCATCTGGTGGGTCATTGTGAGGCTTGCTCAGACGGACCTATGCTTTTCCTCAATCATACACAAATGTTTTGTAGGCATCTATATTACTGTCTTTGTGCCATTGATTTTAATTTCAATATACCCTACTTTTTGTGAGCAGTTTATATCCTACACATATGAAAAGATTAATGAAAGATTGTTTCTGAAACTTATACAGTGGAAATTTATTTCAGATACCACTGGGAGTGCTTCAGTGAGGACCTCAGTGACCGTTCTCCATCACAGTAGGTGCTCAGCGGAGGGGACTACCTCACCCTTGAGAGGCAGAAACAAGCCAATCATGCACTTACGAGATGGACCTACACCAAGTTCCAGATTACAAGGACTTGTTCCAAAGATGGAAGAGTTCCATAACGAAGCTGAATTTCTAAAGGTATATGTAATTAACTGCATTTTCTGTAATTGCGATTTAACAAAAGAAGGACAGTTATTGTGTGGTTTGTAAATTGGTTTATTGTTTTGTTGCAAAAGTAACGGATTAGTCTTTGTGTAATACCTGACTACCTGAAGATATTTCTTTTTCAGGTTATATGGAAACACTTGTACTCGTCCTCCTCTAACAAGTCTGTTTGGCACTCTGCATGCTGCAAAGGAGCACAATAAATGCGGTGAATGTTACTCAGGATCCTCATGACAACTTTTACCCATGCTCTGAATTCATGGACAAGGTCACCACCGCCTACATCGTAACTCGGGGACTACATTACTTCCAAATGGAACACCTCACTTCTGTCCCAACGTCAAGTTACATGGGTGCTGTTGGCAATCCATATAAAATGATTGATTATTTTCTAGGTCATGCAGCAAAACAGTTTGTAGACAAGCACGTCTTACCGGAGGTTCCTCAACAGCCAGGTCATGGTCTCCAAATCAAACACACTAGCCTGCAGGTACTGTGGAAAACTGTACCAGAGACCAAAAGCTCTCCGCAAACACGAAGCATCCGGAATATAATGCTGAAAACAATCAGGATTCCACATCTTCAGCAGAATCAAGATCATCTATTTATCAGTACACCCGTCTGTCTCTCATGCTTGGGCTTCTTCGAATAAATCACAACGATTCCATTCACATGGGAGATGGTGGCAGGCATGATGAGACTAGTAAAGTGGTTCTGTTTATACTACAAGGCAAGCAAATGTCCAAAGTATGCATATGGTCTCCTTTGAAACACAGGCAAAGGCATATGCTCTCCTATATGAACGGCAGGCTTTATAGATTGATATGGAACCGCACAGTCAACCATCAAGGCAGAGAAGACACCAATCATCCCATCGACCTTGACTTGGAGCATTGCAACAGGGCTTTCAAAGATGATGTACACACATACAAGGGGAGGTACACAGATAAAAGACGATTCTCAAAGTCAGCAGAAGTGCGCTGTCAATGGAAGAATTATGCCAAAAATACGACAAATTGGCATTCCGCAAGAAATGTTCGGGAAGGCATGGAGTTGTTGATCCTTCTTGGTGATATTCTTAAACTTGTAGAACAATTCCATTCCTATGCAGCTCTATTCAATGAGGCCAACAAGCCACTGCCACAGAGAAATCAAAAACATGCTGAGTGACATCCAAAATTGGATTTCAGAAAGTCTTAAAGTCTTCAGTAGCCGCACATACTATAACATCTGAACCTTTTTTCCCGATGTGTAATTCAGTGTCACATGATTAAAACGAGACCCTGTTGCAAAGTCGCTATCACTGTATGTTTCATGATCTTCATGTTCTGAGTCTGAGTGAGATGATGAGCTATCACTCGAGTCAAGGGAAGTTTTGTACAACTCAAGAATATCACATCTACATTCACTACATGGGGTAATTGCATGTCCATGAGTCTCTGCAGTCACAGAGACACTTGCAAGATATGGCACAGTTGTCCATAGCACTCATGACTTCAGTAAAGCTCAACTCGTCGACATACGTTGGTTCTGACATACTGTTTCATTTCATCCGAAATATTCCGCCTGCCACTGAGACATCGTCTAAATTTCATGAGAAGAGCATGTGCCTGCTTTTCTGGATCCCTGCCTGCTCCGTCCTTGTCTCTTGAATATAATCCTCAACATTATTGGCTGGACCATAGTGGATGACGGTTTCCACACTTTGTAAGTCCCAAGCTGAATGGTGTTGAGCAATGGACTATCAAGGGACTATCATCCTCTTGAAACCATTTGGATCCATGAAGGACTCTGACACACTTCCCTGTTTTCCTTCTCATTCATACATATTCTGTATGTTGTTATGCATGATTGATGTTGAACTTTAATTGAAACTTTAGCTTGAAAATTGGCCGATTTCTTTTATGAAATTTAACTCCTATTATAAGAATAAGATCAACATATGCAAAAACAATTGTTGTTAGATGATTATTTTTTTGTAACCGATCAACAAGATCAACTTTAGTGTTTTAGTGTTTTAACTTAGCTAATGTAATGTAATACAGTGGATGTATGCATTCCTTTTTCATAAGGGCATTAACATATATTACATAATGCCTCTACCTGGGACTGCGGCCAAACTTACAAAATTAACCCTTGTTTGAGAGTAACAAGTATCAAGTTCATGATGATTGTAGAAGTGATTGTATGTATTCATAAATGTGACACATGCACATTTTGAAATGTTAATATTTGTGCTTTAACTTTGATTTGATGAATATCAAATTAGATATTGTATACACTTTATAGCTACTTGTGATCAGTGCACATTTTTATACCTTTAGATTGTGCAGTTTCATAGTGGTTAGTAAGAATATTTTGTGAATTTATACTTGTTTTATCACAAAACATGTGAATGAGTGAATGTCGTCTCATACTGCAGTCAGCAATATTGCAGCCATATGAAGGCAGCCTGTAAACCAGTAATTGATACGCACACCATCCTAGTACATAAAACATTCGCTCTCCATGCCTATTTATGGTGTCCCCGTCGTGATTTTGCTGGGATATTGCCAAAAGATGCGTAAATCCATGCTCTCTCAATTCAACATGCCATGCCTTGACAGACAAAACGAAATACAAAATATAACATTTATACTTACAATTTTGCAATGCAGTGTGCTTCATCAATGAAAATTGCCATCAAAATCTTCTCTTTAGTCAGGCTGTGTTCCAAGAACTGTCTCTGGACTTGTAAATATTATTATGTCAGTGTCAGGGTGAAAAAACCGTCACAGTAGCATGGTTGGAGTTATTAAGTTTCTTAAACACGAATGGTGCTAATTCAAAAGTAAGTGATTTTCCTGATCCTGTTGGAGAAAAAAAAGGACATCCTTTCCTCTGAGGTAACTTACAATCACTTGTCTTTGATGATTCCTGAAGTGATCAATTATGTAACTGCATTACCTTCCATACCAACAGTTATACATGTAGTTAAGTTAAATAGAGGGCGTATATACTTAAAACACAACATCAATCCTTTGTTCCGTTCAGCAGTGTGTCAGATTCGTGATGGCTAGCTTGAGGTGGCTAGACTTGCTTTTTGTATGCATTACTAGATTATTTTTTTAAATGAAATAAATATATTCCACGGTCATTGGTGCAGGACTAATTGTGTATATCACCTGAATTTTGGTCAATACCTGAAATACTCAGTCGCCAATACAGCCCCTATTTCATATAAGGTTATGAAAATACATGTCGGTTGGAGCCTGAAGCCTGAAGTAGAATTTAGGTTATTACACGGACGATATACATGTAAGGCCGAAAATTGATGAACTTCTTTATTATGAAGAACACAATGTTTGGGACTAATATCATTAGTTGAAGGAGTAAGTATTACACCCAAACGTTCTGTTCCACACAATGCGTTTCACTTCTGAATGTTTTTCTAAGAGTTGATACATACACTTGCCTTGTATATATGGTTGATGCACGTCGAGTGTCTCAGAAACGCGGGATCTGCAGGTATTAGAGCTGAATACAGTTGTGATTTGACGAATTCTTTTTCTTTTGACTCTTCCTCTTATTTCGTTTTTCAGCTTAGCATTGTGTATACACAACGTAATTAACGGATTCTGACATCAGCCACATATCTCGGACCACCCCACGAGTCTCTCTTAACCGTTCAATTAACGTTCCGCTTGGTGTTGCCACACCTGTCCGCCATCTGCTGTTGAGATACTGTAACGGTTCTCGTCTGAAAAGAGGACTTCTCCCACTGCTGGTGCTGTGCTACCCACTGAAGACGGTCCAGGAAACAAAGAAGAAGACTGAAAGGGTATGATTTCTATTTACTTACTTCTTTTGTTAGTAAATAAGCGGCCTTCAAAAGCGACTATGCTTGTCGTAAGAGGAGACTAACGGGTGGTCAGACTAGCTTGACTTGGTTGATACATGCCATCGTATCCCAATTGTGTGGATTGAGTGTGGCGATAAATAACAAAAAACAAACAAACAGTTGTCTCAGATTATTTATATTTAAAAACATGTATATATTTGTTAAAAGTATGTTTCTATTTATACTGCTCACACAAAGTAGGGGATATTGAAAAGTTACGACGAAAAGCTTCAGAATTATGTTTAATTTTCATTGGGAAACAATAATAATGTGGAAATAAGGATGTTAAGAAACAGTTTTGAAAGTAATGACTTTGATCAAGCTGCAATTTCATTTTGTCGACACTGGAAAATTCATGAGGGGTAGAAACCCAAAAGTTGTGCTTCTATGCTTTCTTCCGGCTTGGATCATCCCAATTGCTCTCAATCTTTCGTCTTCTCGTAACCTTCGCATTGTGGAAAGTGGTGAAGTGATGGATGAACTTGGTCCAAGACCCATGTTTAACACCCACTTTTGCCCGTGAGGCACGTGGATTTTGTCATTTGCACGTGTGACACAAGATGTGATTTCTCATCCCCACCCACTGGTACGTTTGAGTGCAATTTTCCTGGATGCAAGGGCATCTGGTGGGTCATTGTGAGGCTTGCTCAGACGGACCTATGCTTTTCCTCAATCATACACAAATGTTTTGTAGGCATCTATATTACTGTCTTTGTGCCATTGATTTTAATTTCAATATACCCTACTTTTTGTGAGCAGTTTATATCCTACACATATGAAAAGATTAATGAAAGATTGTTTCTGAAACTTATACAGTGGAAATTTATTTCAGATACCACTGGGAGTGCTTCAGTGAGGACCTCAGTGACCGTTCTCCATCACAGTAGGTGCTCAGCGGAGGGGACTACCTCACCCTTGAGAGGCAGAAACAAGCCAATCATGCACTTACGAGATGGACCTACACCAAGTTCCAGATTACAAGGACTTGTTCCAAAGATGGAAGAGTTCCATAACGAAGCTGAATTTCTAAAGGTATATGTAATTAACTGCATTTTCTGTAATTGCGATTTAACAAAAGAAGGACAGTTATTGTGTGGTTTGTAAATTGGTTTATTGTTTTGTTGCAAAAGTAACGGATTAGTCTTTGTGTAATACCTGACTACCTGAAGATATTTCTTTTTCAGGTTATATGGAAACACTTGTACTCGTCCTCCTCTAACAAGTCTGTTTGGCACTCTGCATGCTGCAAAGGAGCACAATAAATGCGGTGAATGTTACTCAGGATCCTCATGACAACTTTTACCCATGCTCTGAATTCATGGACAAGGTCACCACCAACTACATCGTAACTCGGGGACTACATTACTTCCAAATGGAACACCTCACTTCTGTCCCAACGTCAAGTTACATGGGTGCTGTTGGCAATCCATATAAAATGATTGATTATTTTCTAGGTCATGCAGCAAAACAGTTTGTAGACAAGCACGTCTTACCGGAGGTTCCTCAACAGCCAGGTCATGGTCTCCAAATCAAACACACTAGCCTGCAGGTACTGTGGAAAACTGTACCAGAGACCAAAAGCTCTCCGCAAACACGAAGCATCCGGAATATAATGCTGAAAACAATCAGGATTCCACATCTTCAGCAGAATCAAGATCATCTATTTATCAGTACACCCGTCTGTCTCTCATGCTTGGGCTTCTTCGAATAAATCACAACGATTCCATTCACATGGGAGATGGTGGCAGGCATGATGAGACTAGTAAAGTGGTTCTGTTTATACTACAAGGCAAGCAAATGTCCAAAGTATGCATATGGTCTCCTTTGAAACACAGGCAAAGGCATATGCTCTCCTATATGAACGGCAGGCTTTATAGATTGATATGGAACCGCACAGTCAACCATCAAGGCAGAGAAGACACCAATCATCCCATCGACCTTGACTTGGAGCATTGCAACAGGGCTTTCAAAGATGATGTACACACCACATACAAGGGGAGGTACACAGATAAAAGACGATTCTCAAAGTCAGCAGAAGTGCGCTGTCAATGGAAGAATTATGCCAAAAATACGACAAATTGGCATTCCGCAAGAAATGTTCGGGAAGGCATGGAGTTGTTGATCCTTCTTGGTGATATTCTTAAACTTGTAGAACAATTCCATTCCTATGCAGCTCTATTCAATGAGGCCAACAAGCCACTGCCACAGAGAAATCAAAAACATGCTGAGTGACATCCAAAATTGGATTTCAGAAAGTCTTAAAGTCTTCAGTAGCCGCACATACTATAACATCTGAACCTTTTTTCCCGATGTGTAATTCAGTGTCACATGATTAAAACGAGACCCTGTTGCAAAGTCGCTATCACTGTATGTTTCATGATCTTCATGTTCTGAGTCTGAGTGAGATGATGAGCTATCACTCGAGTCAAGGGAAGTTTTGTACAACTCAAGAATATCACATCTACATTCACTACATGGGGTAATTGCATGTCCATGAGTCTCTGCAGTCACAGAGACACTTGCAAGATATGGCACAGTTGTCCATAGCACTCATGACTTCAGTAAAGCTCAACTCGTCGACATACGTTGGTTCTGACATACTGTTTCATTTCATCCGAAATATTCCGCCTGCCACTGAGACATCGTCTAAATTTCATGAGAAGAGCATGTGCCTGCTTTTCTGGATCCCTGCCTGCTCCGTCCTTGTCTCTTGAATATAATCCTCAACATTATTGGCTGGACCATAGTGGATGACGGTTTCCACACTTTGTAAGTCCCAAGCTGAATGGTGTTGAGCAATGGACTATCAAGGGACTATCATCCTCTTGAAACCATTTGGATCCATGAAGGACTCTGACACACTTCCCTGTTTTCCTTCTCATTCATACATATTCTGTATGTTGTTATGCATGATTGATGTTGAACTTTAATTGAAACTTTAGCTTGAAAATTGGCCGATTTCTTTTATGAAATTTAACTCCTATTATAAGAATAAGATCAACATATGCAAAAACAATTGTTGTTAGATGATTATTTTTTTGTAACCGATCAACAAGATCAACTTTAGTGTTTTAGTGTTTTAACTTAGCTAATGTAATGTAATACAGTGGATGTATGCATTCCTTTTTCATAAGGGCATTAACATATATTACATAATGCCTCTACCTGGGACTGCGGCCAAACTTACAAAATTAACCCTTGTTTGAGAGTAACAAGTATCAAGTTCATGATGATTGTAGAAGTGATTGTATGTATTCATAAATGTGACACATGCACATTTTGAAATGTTAATATTTGTGCTTTAACTTTGATTTGATGAATATCAAATTAGATATTGTATACACTTTATAGCTACTTGTGATCAGTGCACATTTTTATACCTTTAGATTGTGCAGTTTCATAGTGGTTAGTAAGAATATTTTGTGAATTTATACTTGTTTTATCACAAAACATGTGAATGAGTGAATGTCGTCTCATACTGCAGTCAGCAATATTGCAGCCATATGAAGGCAGCCTGTAAACCAGTAATTGATACGCACACCATCCTAGTACATAAAACATTCGCTCTCCATGCCTATTTATGGTGTCCCCGTCGTGATTTTGCTGGGATATTGCCAAAAGATGCGTAAATCCATGCTCTCTCAATTCAACATGCCATGCCTTGACAGACAAAACGAAATACAAAATATAACATTTATACTTACAATTTTGCAATGCAGTGTGCTTCATCAATGAAAATTGCCATCAAAATCTTCTCTTTAGTCAGGCTGTGTTCCAAGAACTGTCTCTGGACTTGCAAATATTATTATGTCAGTGTCAGGGTGAAAAAACCGTCACAGTAGCATGGTTGGAGTTATTAAGTTTCTTAAACACGAATGGTGCTAATTCAAAAGTAAGTGATTTTCCTGATCCTGTTGGAGAAAAAAAAGGACATCCTTTCCTCTGAGGTAACTTTACAATCACTTGTCTTTGATGATTCCTGAAGTGATCAATTATGTAACTGCATTACCTTCCATACCAACAGTTATACATGTAGTTAAGTTAAATAGAGGGCGTATATACTTAAAACACAACATCAATCCTTTGTTCCGTTCAGCAGTGTGTCAGATTCGTGATGGCTAGCTTGAGGTGGCTAGACTTGCTTTTTGTATGCATTACTAGATTATTTTTTTAAATGAAATAAATATATTCCACGGTCATTGGTGCAGGACTAATTGTGTATATCACCTGAATTTTGGTCAATACCTGAAATACTCAGTCGCCAATACAGCCCCTATTTCATATAAGGTTATGAAAATACATGTCGGTTGGAGCCTGAAGCCTGAAGTAGAATTTAGGTTATTACACGGACGATATACATGTAAGGCCGAAAATTGATGAACTTCTTTATTATGAAGAACACAATGTTTGGGACTAATATCATTAGTTGAAGGAGTAAGTATTACACCCAAACGTTCTGTTCCACACAATGCGTTTCACTTCTGAATGTTTTTCTAAGAGTTGATACATACACTTGCCTTGTATATATGGTTGATGCACGTCGAGTGTCTCAGAAACGCGGGATCTGCAGGTATTAGAGCTGAATACAGTTGTGATTTGACGAATTCTTTTTCTTTTGACTCTTCCTCTTATTTCGTTTTTCAGCTTAGCATTGTGTATACACAACGTAATTAACGGATTCTGACATCAGCCACATATCTCGGACCACCCCACGAGTCTCTCTTAACCGTTCAATTAACGTTCCGCTTGGTGTTGCCACACCTGTCCGCCATCTGCTGTTGAGATACTGTAACGGTTCTCGTCTGAAAAGAGGACTTCTCCCACTGCTGGTGCTGTGCTACCCACTGAAGACGGTCCAGGAAACAAAGAAGAAGACTGAAAGGGTATGATTTCTATTTACTTACTTCTTTTGTTAGTAAATAAGCGGCCTTCAAAAGCGACTATGCTTGTCGTAAGAGGAGACTAACGGGTGGTCAGACTAGCTTGACTTGGTTGATACATGCCATCGTATCCCAATTGTGTGGATTGAGTGTGGCGATAAATAACAAAAAACAAACAAACAGTTGTCTCAGATTATTTATATTTAAAAACATGTATATATTTGTTAAAAGTATGTTTCTATTTATACTGCTCACACAAAGTAGGGGATATTGAAAAGTTACGACGAAAAGCTTCAGAATTATGTTTAATTTTCATTGGGAAACAATAATAATGTGGAAATAAGGATGTTAAGAAACAGTTTTGAAAGTAATGACTTTGATCAAGCTGCAATTTCATTTTGTCGACACTGGAAAATTCATGAGGGGTAGAAACCCAAAAGTTGTGCTTCTATGCTTTCTTCCGGCTTGGATCATCCCAATTGCTCTCAATCTTTCGTCTTCTCGTAACCTTCGCATTGTGGAAAGTGGTGAAGTGATGGATGAACTTGGTCCAAGACCCATGTTTAACACCCATTTTTGCCCGTGAGGCACGTGGATTTTGTCATTTGCACGTGTGACACAAGATGTGATTTCTCATCCCCACCCCCTGGTACGTTTGAGTGCAATTTTCCTGGATGCAAGGGCATCTGGTGGGTCATTGTGAGGCTTGCTCAGACGGACCTATGCTTTTCCTCAATCATACACAAATGTTTTGTAGGCATCTATATTACTGTCTTTGTGCCATTGATTTTAATTTCAATATACCCTACTTTTTGTGAGCAGTTTATATCCTACACATATGAAAAGATTAATGAAAGATTGTTTCTGAAACTTATACAGTGGAAATTTATTTCAGATACCACTGGGAGTGCTTCAGTGAGGACCTCAGTGACCGTTCTCCATCACAGTAGGTGCTCAGCGGAGGGGACTACCTCACCCTTGAGAGGCAGAAACAAGCCAATCATGCACTTACGAGATGGACCTACACCAAGTTCCAGATTACAAGGACTTGTTCCAAAGATGGAAGAGTTCCATAACGAAGCTGAATTTCTAAAGGTATATGTAATTAACTGCATTTTCTGTAATTGCGATTTAACAAAAGAAGGACAGTTATTGTGTGGTTTGTAAATTGGTTTATTGTTTTGTTGCAAAAGTAACGGATTAGTCTTTGTGTAATACCTGACTACCTGAAGATATTTCTTTTTCAGGTTATATGGAAACACTTGTACTCGTCCTCCTCTAACAAGTCTGTTTGGCACTCTGCATGCTGCAAAGGAGCACAATAAATGCGGTGAATGTTACTCAGGATCCTCATGACAACTTTTACCCATGCTCTGAATTCATGGACAAGGTCACCACCGCCTACATCGTAACTCGGGGACTACATTACTTCCAAATGGAACACCTCACTTCTGTCCCAACGTCAAGTTACATGGGTGCTGTTGGCAATCCATATAAAATGATTGATTATTTTCTAGGTCATGCAGCAAAACAGTTTGTAGACAAGCACGTCTTACCGGAGGTTCCTCAACAGCCAGGTCATGGTCTCCAAATCAAACACACTAGCCTGCAGGTACTGTGGAAAACTGTACCAGAGACCAAAAGCTCTCCGCAAACACGAAGCATCCGGAATATAATGCTGAAAACAATCAGGATTCCACATCTTCAGCAGAATCAAGATCATCTATTTATCAGTACACCCGTCTGTCTCTCATGCTTGGGCTTCTTCGAATAAATCACAACGATTCCATTCACATGGGAGATGGTGGCAGGCATGATGAGACTAGTAAAGTGGTTCTGTTTATACTACAAGGCAAGCAAATGTCCAAAGTATGCATATGGTCTCCTTTGAAACACAGGCAAAGGCATATGCTCTCCTATATGAACGGCAGGCTTTATAGATTGATATGGAACCGCACAGTCAACCATCAAGGCAGAGAAGACACCAATCATCCCATCGACCTTGACTTGGAGCATTGCAACAGGGCTTTCAAAGATGATGTACACACCACATACAAGGGGAGGTACACAGATAAAAGACGATTCTCAAAGTCAGCAGAAGTGCGCTGTCAATGGAAGAATTATGCCAAAAATACGACAAATTGGCATTCCGCAAGAAATGTTCGGGAAGGCATGGAGTTGTTGATCCTTCTTGGTGATATTCTTAAACTTGTAGAACAATTCCATTCCTATGCAGCTCTATTCAATGAGGCCAACAAGCCACTGCCACAGAGAAATCAAAAACATGCTGAGTGACATCCAAAATTGGATTTCAGAAAGTCTTAAAGTCTTCAGTAGCCGCACATACTATAACATCTGAACCTTTTTTCCCGATGTGTAATTCAGTGTCACATGATTAAAACGAGACCCTGTTGCAAAGTCGCTATCACTGTATGTTTCATGATCTTCATGTTCTGAGTCTGAGTGAGATGATGAGCTATCACTCGAGTCAAGGGAAGTTTTGTACAACTCAAGAATATCACATCTACATTCACTACATGGGGTAATTGCATGTCCATGAGTCTCTGCAGTCACAGAGACACTTGCAAGATATGGCACAGTTGTCCATAGCACTCATGACTTCAGTAAAGCTCAACTCGTCGACATACGTTGGTTCTGACATACTGTTTCATTTCATCCGAAATATTCCGCCTGCCACTGAGACATTGTCTAAATTTCATGAGAAGAGCATGTGCCTGCTTTTCTGGATCCCTGCCTGCTCCGTCCTTGTCTCTTGAATATAATCCTCAACATTATTGGCTGGACCATAGTGGATGACGGTTTCCACACTTTGTAAGTCCCAAGCTGAATGGTGTTGAGCAATGGACTATCAAGGGACTATCATCCTCTTGAAACCATTTGGATCCATGAAGGACTCTGACACACTTCCCTGTTTTCCTTCTCATTCATACATATTCTGTATGTTGTTATGCATGATTGATGTTGAACTTTAATTGAAACTTTAGCTTGAAAATTGGCCGATTTCTTTTATGAAATTTAACTCCTATTATAAGAATAAGATCAACATATGCAAAAACAATTGTTGTTAGATGATTATTTTTTTGTAACCGATCAACAAGATCAACTTTAGTGTTTTAGTGTTTTAACTTAGCTAATGTAATGTAATACAGTGGATGTATGCATTCCTTTTTCATAAGGGCATTAACATATATTACATAATGCCTCTACCTGGGACTGCGGCCAAACTTACAAAATTAACCCTTGTTTGAGAGTAACAAGTATCAAGTTCATGATTGTAGAAGTGATTGTATGTATTCATAAATGTGACACATGCACATTTTGAAATGTTAATATTTGTGCTTTAACTTTGATTTGATGAATATCAAATTAGATATTGTATACACTTTATAGCTACTTGTGATCAGTGCACATTTTTATACCTTTAGATTGTGCAGTTTCATAGTGGTTAGTAAGAATATTTTGTGAATTTATACTTGTTTTATCACAAAACATGTGAATGAGTGAATGTCGTCTCATACTGCAGTCAGCAATATTGCAGCCATATGAAGGCAGCCTGTAAACCAGTAATTGATACGCACACCATCCTAGTACATAAAACATTCGCTCTCCATGCCTATTTATGGTGTCCCCGTCGTGATTTTGCTGGGATATTGCCAAAAGATGCGTAAATCCATGCTCTCTCAATTCAACATGCCATGCCTTGACAGACAAAACGAAATACAAAATATAACATTTATACTTACAATTTTGCAATGCAGTGTGCTTCATCAATGAAAATTGCCATCAAAATCTTCTCTTTAGTCAGGCTGTGTTCCAAGAACTGTCTCTGGACTTGCAAATATTATTATGTCAGTGTCAGGGTGAAAAAACCGTCACAGTAGCATGGTTGGAGTTATTAAGTTTCTTAAACACGAATGGTGCTAATTCAAAAGTAAGTGATTTTCCTGATCCTGTTGGAGAAAAAAAAGGACATCCTTTCCTCTGAGGTAACTTACAATCACTTGTCTTTGATGATTCCTGAAGTGATCAATTATGTAACTGCATTACCTTCCATACCAACAGTTATACATGTAGTTAAGTTAAATAGAGGGCGTATATACTTAAAACACAACATCAATCCTTTGTTCCGTTCAGCAGTGTGTCAGATTCGTGATGGCTAGCTTGAGGTGGCTAGACTTGCTTTTTGTATGCATTACTAGATTATTTTTTTAAATGAAATAAATATATTCCACGGTCATTGGTGCAGGACTAATTGTGTATATCACCTGAATTTTGGTCAATACCTGAAATACTCAGTCGCCAATACAGCCCCTATTTCATATAAGGTTATGAAAATACATGTCGGTTGGAGCCTGAAGCCTGAAGTAGAATTTAGGTTATTACACGGATGATATACATGTAAGGCCGAAAATTGATGAACTTCTTTATTATGAAGAACACAATGTTTGGGACTAATATCATTAGTTGAAGGAGTAAGTATTACACCCAAACGTTCTGTTCCACACAATGCGTTTCACTTCTGAATGTTTTTCTAAGAGTTGATACATACACTTGCCTTGTATATATGGTTGATGCACGTCGAGTGTCTCAGAAACGCGGGATCTGCAGGTATTAGAGCTGAATACAGTTGTGATTTGACGAATTCTTTTTCTTCTGACTCTTCCTCTTATTTCGTTTTTCAGCTTAGCATTGTGTATACACAACGTAATTAACGGATTCTGACATCAGCCACATATCTCGGACCACCCCACGAGTCTCTCTTAACCGTTCAATTAACGTTCCGCTTGGTGTTGCCACACCTGTCCGCCATCTGCTGTTGAGATACTGTAACGGTTCTCGTCTGAAAAGAGGACTTCTCCCACTGCTGGTGCTGTGCTACCCACTGAAGACGGTCCAGGAAACAAAGAAGAAGACTGAAAGGGTATGATTTCTATTTACTTACTTCTTTTGTTAGTAAATAAGCGGCCTTCAAAAGCGACTATGCTTGTCGTAAGAGGAGACTAACGGGTGGTCAGACTAGCTTGACTTGGTTGATACATGCCATCGTATCCCAATTGTGTGGATTGAGTGTGGCGATAAATAACAAAAAACAAACAAACAGTTGTCTCAGATTATTTATATTTAAAAACATGTATATATTTGTTAAAAGTATGTTTCTATTTATACTGCTCACACAAAGTAGGGGATATTGAAAAGTTACGACGAAAAGCTTCAGAATTATGTTTAATTTTCATTGGGAAACAATAATAATGTGGAAATAAGGATGTTAAGAAACAGTTTTGAAAGTAATGACTTTGATCAAGCTGCAATTTCATTTTGTCGACACTGGAAAATTCATGAGGGGTAGAAACCCAAAAGTTGTGCTTCTATGCTTTCTTCCGGCTTGGATCATCCCAATTGCTCTCAATCTTTCGTCTTCTCGTAACCTTCGCATTGTGGAAAGTGGTGAAGTGATGGATGAACTTGGTCCAAGACCCATGTTTAACACCCACTTTTGCCCGTGAGGCACGTGGATTTTGTCATTTGCACGTGTGACACAAGATGTGATTTCTCATCCCCACCCCCTGGTACGTTTGAGTGCAATTTTCCTGGATGCAAGGGCATCTGGTGGGTCATTGTGAGGCTTGCTCAGACGGACCTATGCTTTTCCTCAATCATACACAAATGTTTTGTAGGCATCTATATTACTGTCTTTGTGCCATTGATTTTAATTTCAATATACCCTACTTTTTGTGAGCAGTTTATATCCTACACATATGAAAAGATTAATGAAAGATTGTTTCTGAAACTTATACAGTGGAAATTTATTTCAGATACCACTGGGAGTGCTTCAGTGAGGACCTCAGTGACCGTTCTCCATCACAGTAGGTGCTCAGCGGAGGGGACTACCTCACCCTTGAGAGGCAGAAACAAGCCAATCATGCACTTACGAGATGGACCTACACCAAGTTCCAGATTACAAGGACTTGTTCCAAAGATGGAAGAGTTCCATAACGAAGCTGAATTTCTAAAGGTATATGTAATTAACTGCATTTTCTGTAATTGCGATTTAACAAAAGAAGGACAGTTATTGTGTGGTTTGTAAATTGGTTTATTGTTTTGTTGCAAAAGTAACGGATTAGTCTTTGTGTAATACCTGACTACCTGAAGATATTTCTTTTTCAGGTTATATGGAAACACTTGTACTCGTCCTCCTCTAACAAGTCTGTTTGGCACTCTGCATGCTGCAAAGGAGCACAATAAATGCGGTGAATGTTACTCAGGATCCTCATGACAACTTTTACCCATGCTCTGAATTCATGGACAAGGTCACCACCGCCTACATCGTAACTCGGGGACTACATTACTTCCAAATGGAACACCTCACTTCTGTCCCAACGTCAAGTTACATGGGTGCTGTTGGCAATCCATATAAAATGATTGATTATTTTCTAGGTCATGCAGCAAAACAGTTTGTAGACAAGCACGTCTTACCGGAGGTTCCTCAACAGCCAGGTCATGGTCTCCAAATCAAACACACTAGCCTGCAGGTACTGTGGAAAACTGTACCAGAGACCAAAAGCTCTCCGCAAACACGAAGCATCCGGAATATAATGCTGAAAACAATCAGGATTCCACATCTTCAGCAGAATCAAGATCATCTATTTATCAGTACACCCGTCTGTCTCTCATGCTTGGGCTTCTTCGAATAAATCACAACGATTCCATTCACATGGGAGATGGTGGCAGGCATGATGAGACTAGTAAAGTGGTTCTGTTTATACTACAAGGCAAGCAAATGTCCAAAGTATGCATATGGTCTCCTTTGAAACACAGGCAAAGGCATATGCTCTCCTATATGAACGGCAGGCTTTATAGATTGATATGGAACCGCACAGTCAACCATCAAGGCAGAGAAGACACCAATCATCCCATCGACCTTGACTTGGAGCATTGCAACAGGGCTTTCAAAGATGATGTACACACCACATACAAGGGGAGGTACACAGATAAAAGACGATTCTCAAAGTCAGCAGAAGTGCGCTGTCAATGGAAGAATTATGCCAAAAATACGACAAATTGGCATTCCGCAAGAAATGTTCGGGAAGGCATGGAGTTGTTGATCCTTCTTGGTGATATTCTTAAACTTGTAGAACAATTCCATTCCTATGCAGCTCTATTCAATGAGGCCAACAAGCCACTGCCACAGAGAAATCAAAAACATGCTGAGTGACATCCAAAATTGGATTTCAGAAAGTCTTAAAGTCTTCAGTAGCCGCACATACTATAACATCTGAACCTTTTTTCCCGATGTGTAATTCAGTGTCACATGATTAAAACGAGACCCTGTTGCAAAGTCGCTATCACTGTATGTTTCATGATCTTCATGTTCTGAGTCTGAGTGAGATGATGAGCTATCACTCGAGTCAAGGGAAGTTTTGTACAACTCAAGAATATCACATCTACATTCACTACATGGGGTAATTGCATGTCCATGAGTCTCTGCAGTCACAGAGACACTTGCAAGATATGGCACAGTTGTCCATAGCACTCATGACTTCAGTAAAGCTCAACTCGTCGACATACGTTGGTTCTGACATACTGTTTCATTTCATCCGAAATATTCCGCCTGCCACTGAGACATCGTCTAAATTTCATGAGAAGAGCATGTGCCTGCTTTTCTGGATCCCTGCCTGCTCCGTCCTTGTCTCTTGAATATAATCCTCAACATTATTGGCTGGACCATAGTGGATGACGGTTTCCACACTTTGTAAGTCCCAAGCTGAATGGTGTTGAGCAATGGACTATCAAGGGACTATCATCCTCTTGAAACCATTTGGATCCATGAAGGACTCTGACACACTTCCCTGTTTTCCTTCTCATTCATACATATTCTGTATGTTGTTATGCATGATTGATGTTGAACTTTAATTGAAACTTTAGCTTGAAAATTGGCCGATTTCTTTTATGAAATTTAACTCCTATTATAAGAATAAGATCAACATATGCAAAAACAATTGTTGTTAGATGATTATTTTTTTGTAACCGATCAACAAGATCAACTTTAGTGTTTTAGTGTTTTAACTTAGCTAATGTAATGTAATACAGTGGATGTATGCATTCCTTTTTCATAAGGGCATTAACATATATTACATAATGCCTCTACCTGGGACTGCGGCCAAACTTACAAAATTAACCCTTGTTTGAGAGTAACAAGTATCAAGTTCATGATGATTGTAGAAGTGATTGTATGTATTCATAAATGTGACACATGCACATTTTGAAATGTTAATATTTGTGCTTTAACTTTGATTTGATGAATATCAAATTAGATATTGTATACACTTTATAGCTACTTGTGATCAGTGCACATTTTTATACCTTTAGATTGTGCAGTTTCATAGTGGTTAGTAAGAATATTTTGTGAATTTATACTTGTTTTATCACAAAACATGTGAATGAGTGAATGTCGTCTCATACTGCAGTCAGCAATATTGCAGCCATATGAAGGCAGCCTGTAAACCAGTAATTGATACGCACACCATCCTAGTACATAAAACATTCGCTCTCCATGCCTATTTATGGTGTCCCCGTCGTGATTTTGCTGGGATATTGCCAAAAGATGCGTAAATCCATGCTCTCTCAATTCAACATGCCATGCCTTGACAGACAAAACGAAATACAAAATATAACATTTATACTTACAATTTTGCAATGCAGTGTGCTTCATCAATGAAAATTGCCATCAAAATCTTCTCTTTAGTCAGGCTGTGTTCCAAGAACTGTCTCTGGACTTGCAAATATTATTATGTCAGTGTCAGGGTGAAAAAACCGTCACAGTAGCATGGTTGGAGTTATTAAGTTTCTTAAACACGAATGGTGCTAATTCAAAAGTAAGTGATTTTCCTGATCCTGTTGGAGAAAAAAAAGGACATCCTTTCCTCTGAGGTAACTTACAATCACTTGTCTTTGATGATTCCTGAAGTGATCAATTATGTAACTGCATTACCTTCCATACCAACAGTTATACATGTAGTTAAGTTAAATAGAGGGCCTTAAAACACAACATCAATCCTTTGTTCCGTTCAGCAGTGTGTCAGATTCGTGATGGCTAGCTTGAGGTGGCTAGACTTGCTTTTTGTATGCATTACTAGATTATTTTTTTAAATGAAATAAATATATTCCACGGTCATTGGTGCAGGACTAATTGTGTATATCACCTGAATTTTGGTCAATACCTGAAATACTCAGTCGCCAATACAGCCCCTATTTCATATAAGGTTATGAAAATACATGTCGGTTGGAGCCTGAAGCCTGAAGTAGAATTTAGGTTATTACACGGATGATATACATGTAAGGCCGAAAATTGATGAACTTCTTTATTATGAAGAACACAATGTTTGGGACTAATATCATTAGTTGAAGGAGTAAGTATTACACCCAAACGTTCTGTTCCACACAATGCGTTTCACTTCTGAATGTTTTTCTAAGAGTTGATACATACACTTGCCTTGTATATATGGTTGATGCACGTCGAGTGTCTCAGAAACGCGGGATCTGCAGGTATTAGAGCTGAATACAGTTGTGATTTGACGAATTCTTTTTCTTCTGACTCTTCCTCTTATTTCGTTTTTCAGCTTAGCATTGTGTATACACAACGTAATTAACGGATTCTGACATCAGCCACATATCTCGGACCACCCCACGAGTCTCTCTTAACCGTTCAATTAACGTTCCGCTTGGTGTTGCCACACCTGTCCGCCATCTGCTGTTGAGATACTGTAACGGTTCTCGTCTGAAAAGAGGACTTCTCCCACTGCTGGTGCTGTGCTACCCACTGAAGACGGTCCAGGAAACAAAGAAGAAGACTGAAAGGGTATGATTTCTATTTACTTACTTCTTTTGTTAGTAAATAAGCGGCCTTCAAAAGCGACTATGCTTGTCGTAAGAGGAGACTAACGGGTGGTCAGACTAGCTTGACTTGGTTGATACATGCCATCGTATCCCAATTGTGTGGATTGAGTGTGGCGATAAATAACAAAAAACAAACAAACAGTTGTCTCAGATTATTTATATTTAAAAACATGTATATATTTGTTAAAAGTATGTTTCTATTTATACTGCTCACACAAAGTAGGGGATATTGAAAAGTTACGACGAAAAGCTTCAGAATTATGTTTAATTTTCATTGGGAAACAATAATAATGTGGAAATAAGGATGTTAAGAAACAGTTTTGAAAGTAATGACTTTGATCAAGCTGCAATTTCATTTTGTCGACACTGGAAAATTCATGAGGGGTAGAAACCCAAAAGTTGTGCTTCTATGCTTTCTTCCGGCTTGGATCATCCCAATTGCTCTCAATCTTTCGTCTTCTCGTAACCTTCGCATTGTGGAAAGTGGTGAAGTGATGGATGAACTTGGTCCAAGACCCATGTTTAACACCCATTTTTGCCCGTGAGGCACGTGGATTTTGTCATTTGCACGTGTGACACAAGATGTGATTTCTCATCCCCACCCCCTGGTACGTTTGAGTGCAATTTTCCTGGATGCAAGGGCATCTGGTGGGTCATTGTGAGGCTTGCTCAGACGGACCTATGCTTTTCCTCAATCATACACAAATGTTTTGTAGGCATCTATATTACTGTCTTTGTGCCATTGATTTTAATTTCAATATACCCTACTTTTTGTGAGCAGTTTATATCCTACACATATGAAAAGATTAATGAAAGATTGTTTCTGAAACTTATACAGTGGAAATTTATTTCAGATACCACTGGGAGTGCTTCAGTGAGGACCTCAGTGACCGTTCTCCATCACAGTAGGTGCTCAGCGGAGGGGACTACCTCACCCTTGAGAGGCAGAAACAAGCCAATCATGCACTTACGAGATGGACCTACACCAAGTTCCAGATTACAAGGACTTGTTCCAAAGATGGAAGAGTTCCATAACGAAGCTGAATTTCTAAAGGTATATGTAATTAACTGCATTTTCTGTAATTGCGATTTAACAAAAGAAGGACAGTTATTGTGTGGTTTGTAAATTGGTTTATTGTTTTGTTGCAAAAGTAACGGATTAGTCTTTGTGTAATACCTGACTACCTGAAGATATTTCTTTTTCAGGTTATATGGAAACACTTGTACTCGTCCTCCTCTAACAAGTCTGTTTGGCACTCTGCATGCTGCAAAGGAGCACAATAAATGCGGTGAATGTTACTCAGGATCCTCATGACAACTTTTACCCATGCTCTGAATTCATGGACAAGGTCACCACCGCCTACATCGTAACTGGGGGACTACATTACTTCCAAATGGAACACCTCACTTCTGTCCCAACGTCAAGTTACATGGGTGCTGTTGGCAATCCATATAAAATGATTGATTATTTTCTAGGTCATGCAGCAAAACAGTTTGTAGACAAGCACGTCTTACCGGAGGTTCCTCAACAGCCAGGTCATGGTCTCCAAATCAAACACACTAGCCTGCAGGTACTGTGGAAAACTGTACCAGAGACCAAAAGCTCTCCGCAAACACGAAGCATCCGGAATATAATGCTGAAAACAATCAGGATTCCACATCTTCAGCAGAATCAAGATCATCTATTTATCAGTACACCCGTCTGTCTCTCATGCTTGGGCTTCTTCGAATAAATCACAACGATTCCATTCACATGGGAGATGGTGGCAGGCATGATGAGACTAGTAAAGTGGTTCTGTTTATACTACAAGGCAAGCAAATGTCCAAAGTATGCATATGGTCTCCTTTGAAACACAGGCAAAGGCATATGCTCTCCTATATGAACGGCAGGCTTTATAGATTGATATGGAACCGCACAGTCAACCATCAAGGCAGAGAAGACACCAATCATCCCATCGACCTTGACTTGGAGCATTGCAACAGGGCTTTCAAAGATGATGTACACACATACAAGGGGAGGTACACAGATAAAAGACGATTCTCAAAGTCAGCAGAAGTGCGCTGTCAATGGAAGAATTATGCCAAAAATACGACAAATTGGCATTCCGCAAGAAATGTTCGGGAAGGCATGGAGTTGTTGATCCTTCTTGGTGATATTCTTAAACTTGTAGAACAATTCCATTCCTATGCAGCTCTATTCAATGAGGCCAACAAGCCACTGCCACAGAGAAATCAAAAACATGCTGAGTGACATCCAAAATTGGATTTCAGAAAGTCTTAAAGTCTTCAGTAGCCGCACATACTATAACATCTGAACCTTTTTTCCCGATGTGTAATTCAGTGTCACATGATTAAAACGAGACCCTGTTGCAAAGTCGCTATCACTGTATGTTTCATGATCTTCATGTTCTGAGTCTGAGTGAGATGATGAGCTATCACTCGAGTCAAGGGAAGTTTTGTACAACTCAAGAATATCACATCTACATTCACTACATGGGGTAATTGCATGTCCATGAGTCTCTGCAGTCACAGAGACACTTGCAAGATATGGCACAGTTGTCCATAGCACTCATGACTTCAGTAAAGCTCAACTCGTCGACATACGTTGGTTCTGACATACTGTTTCATTTCATCCGAAATATTCCGCCTGCCACTGAGACATCGTCTAAATTTCATGAGAAGAGCATGTGCCTGCTTTTCTGGATCCCTGCCTGCTCCGTCCTTGTCTCTTGAATATAATCCTCAACATTATTGGCTGGACCATAGTGGATGACGGTTTCCACACTTTGTAAGTCCCAAGCTGAATGGTGTTGAGCAATGGACTATCAAGGGACTATCATCCTCTTGAAACCATTTGGATCCATGAAGGACTCTGACACACTTCCCTGTTTTCCTTCTCATTCATACATATTCTGTATGTTGTTATGCATGATTGATGTTGAACTTTAATTGAAACTTTAGCTTGAAAATTGGCCGATTTCTTTTATGAAATTTAACTCCTATTATAAGAATAAGATCAACATATGCAAAAACAATTGTTGTTAGATGATTATTTTTTTGTAACCGATCAACAAGATCAACTTTAGTGTTTTAGTGTTTTAACTTAGCTAATGTAATGTAATACAGTGGATGTATGCATTCCTTTTTCATAAGGGCATTAACATATATTACATAATGCCTCTACCTGGGACTGCGGCCAAACTTACAAAATTAACCCTTGTTTGAGAGTAACAAGTATCAAGTTCATGATGATTGTAGAAGTGATTGTATGTATTCATAAATGTGACACATGCACATTTTGAAATGTTAATATTTGTGCTTTAACTTTGATTTGATGAATATCAAATTAGATATTGTATACACTTTATAGCTACTTGTGATCAGTGCACATTTTTATACCTTTAGATTGTGCAGTTTCATAGTGGTTAGTAAGAATATTTTGTGAATTTATACTTGTTTTATCACAAAACATGTGAATGAGTGAATGTCGTCTCATACTGCAGTCAGCAATATTGCAGCCATATGAAGGCAGCCTGTAAACCAGTAATTGATACGCACACCATCCTAGTACATAAAACATTCGCTCTCCATGCCTATTTATGGTGTCCCCGTCGTGATTTTGCTGGGATATTGCCAAAAGATGCGTAAATCCATGCTCTCTCAATTCAACATGCCATGCCTTGACAGACAAAACGAAATACAAAATATAACATTTATACTTACAATTTTGCAATGCAGTGTGCTTCATCAATGAAAATTGCCATCAAAATCTTCTCTTTAGTCAGGCTGTGTTCCAAGAACTGTCTCTGGACTTGCAAATATTATTATGTCAGTGTCAGGGTGAAAAAACCGTCACAGTAGCATGGTTGGAGTTATTAAGTTTCTTAAACACGAATGGTGCTAATTCAAAAGTAAGTGATTTTCCTGATCCTGTTGGAGAAAAAAAAGGACATCCTTTCCTCTGAGGTAACTTACAATCACTTGTCTTTGATGATTCCTGAAGTGATCAATTATGTAACTGCATTACCTTCCATACCAACAGTTATACATGTAGTTAAGTTAAATAGAGGGCGTATATACTTAAAACACAACATCAATCCTTTGTTCCGTTCAGCAGTGTGTCAGATTCGTGATGGCTAGCTTGAGGTGGCTAGACTTGCTTTTTGTATGCATTACTAGATTATTTTTTTAAATGAAATAAATATATTCCACGGTCATTGGTGCAGGACTAATTGTGTATATCACCTGAATTTTGGTCAATACCTGAAATACTCAGTCGCCAATACAGCCCCTATTTCATATAAGGTTATGAAAATACATGTCGGTTGGAGCCTGAAGCCTGAAGTAGAATTTAGGTTATTACACGGATGATATACATGTAAGGCCGAAAATTGATGAACTTCTTTATTATGAAGAACACAATGTTTGGGACTAATATCATTAGTTGAAGGAGTAAGTATTACACCCAAACGTTCTGTTCCACACAATGCGTTTCACTTCTGAATGTTTTTTCTAAGAGTTGATACATACACTTGCCTTGTATATATGGTTGATGCACGTCGAGTGTCTCAGAAACGCGGGATCTGCAGGTATTAGAGCTGAATACAGTTGTGATTTGACGAATTCTTTTTCTTTTGACTCTTCCTCTTATTTCGTTTTTCAGCTTAGCATTGTGTATACACAACGTAATTAACGGATTCTGACATCAGCCACATATCTCGGACCACCCCACGAGTCTCTCTTAACCGTTCAATTAACGTTCCGCTTGGTGTTGCCACACCTGTCCGCCATCTGCTGTTGAGATACTGTAACGGTTCTCGTCTGAAAAGAGGACTTCCCCCACTGCTGGTGCTGTGCTACCCACTGAAGACGGTCCAGGAAACAAAGAAGAAGACTGAAAGGGTATGATTTCTATTTACTTACTTCTTTTGTTAGTAAATAAGCGGCCTTCAAAAGCGACTATGCTTGTCGTAAGAGGAGACTAACGGGTGGTCAGACTAGCTTGACTTGGTTGATACATGCCATCGTATCCCAATTGTGTGGATTGAGTGTGGCGATAAATAACAAAAAACAAACAAACAGTTGTCTCAGATTATTTATATTTAAAAACATGTATATATTTGTTAAAAGTATGTTTCTATTTATACTGCTCACACAAAGTAGGGGATATTGAAAAGTTACGACGAAAAGCTTCAGAATTATGTTTAATTTTCATTGGGAAACAATAATAATGTTAAGAAACAGTTTTGAAAGTAATGACTTTGATCAAGCTGCAATTTCATTTTGTCGACACTGGAAAATTCATGAGGGGTAGAAACCCAAAAGTTGTGCTTCTATGCTTTCTTCCGGCTTGGATCATCCCAATTGCTCTCAATCTTTCGTCTTCTCGTAACCTTCGCATTGTGGAAAGTGGTGAAGTGATGGATGAACTTGGTCCAAGACCCATGTTTAACACCCATTTTTGCCCGTGAGGCACGTGGATTTTGTCATTTGCACGTGTGACACAAGATGTGATTTCTCATCCCCACCCCCTGGTACGTTTGAGTGCAATTTTCCTGGATGCAAGGGCATCTGGTGGGTCATTGTGAGGCTTGCTCAGACGGACCTATGCTTTTCCTCAATCATACACAAATGTTTTGTAGGCATCTATATTACTGTCTTTGTGCCATTGATTTTAATTTCAATATACCCTACTTTTTGTGAGCAGTTTATATCCTACACATATGAAAAGATTAATGAAAGATTGTTTCTGAAACTTATACAGTGGAAATTTATTTCAGATACCACTGGGAGTGCTTCAGTGAGGACCTCAGTGACCGTTCTCCATCACAGTAGGTGCTCAGCGGAGGGGACTACCTCACCCTTGAGAGGCAGAAACAAGCCAATCATGCACTTACGAGATGGACCTACACCAAGTTCCAGATTACAAGGACTTGTTCCAAAGATGGAAGAGTTCCATAACGAAGCTGAATTTCTAAAGGTATATGTAATTAACTGCATTTTCTGTAATTGCGATTTAACAAAAGAAGGACAGTTATTGTGTGGTTTGTAAATTGGTTTATTGTTTTGTTGCAAAAGTAACGGATTAGTCTTTGTGTAATACCTGACTACCTGAAGATATTTCTTTTTCAGGTTATATGGAAACACTTGTACTCGTCCTCCTCTAACAAGTCTGTTTGGCACTCTGCATGCTGCAAAGGAGCACAATAAATGCGGTGAATGTTACTCAGGATCCTCATGACAACTTTTACCCATGCTCTGAATTCATGGACAAGGTCACCACCGCCTACATCGTAACTCGGGGACTACATTACTTCCAAATGGAACACCTCACTTCTGTCCCAACGTCAAGTTACATGGGTGCTGTTGGCAATCCATATAAAATGATTGATTATTTTCTAGGTCATGCAGCAAAACAGTTTGTAGACAAGCACGTCTTACCGGAGGTTCCTCAACAGCCAGGTCATGGTCTCCAAATCAAACACACTAGCCTGCAGGTACTGTGGAAAACTGTACCAGAGACCAAAAGCTCTCCGCAAACACGAAGCATCCGGAACATAATGCTGAAAACAATCAGGATTCCACATCTTCAGCAGAATCAAGATCATCTATTTATCAGTACACCCGTCTGTCTCTCATGCTTGGGCTTCTTCGAATAAATCACAACGATTCCATTCACATGGGAGATGGTGGCAGGCATGATGAGACTAGTAAAGTGGTTCTGTTTATACTACAAGGCAAGCAAATGTCCAAAGTATGCATATGGTCTCCTTTGAAACACAGGCAAAGGCATATGCTCTCCTATATGAACGGCAGGCTTTATAGATTGATATGGAACCGCACAGTCAACCATCAAGGCAGAGAAGACACCAATCATCCCATCGACCTTGACTTGGAGCATTGCAACAGGGCTTTCAAAGATGATGTACACACATACAAGGGGAGGTACACAGATAAAAGACGATTCTCAAAGTCAGCAGAAGTGCGCTGTCAATGGAAGAATTATGCCAAAAATACGACAAATTGGCATTCCGCAAGAAATGTTCGGGAAGGCATGGAGTTGTTGATCCTTCTTGGTGATATTCTTAAACTTGTAGAACAATTCCATTCCTATGCAGCTCTATTCAATGAGGCCAACAAGCCACTGCCACAGAGAAATCAAAAACATGCTGAGTGACATCCAAAATTGGATTTCAGAAAGTCTTAAAGTCTTCAGTAGCCGCACATACTATAACATCTGAACCTTTTTTCCCGATGTGTAATTCAGTGTCACATGATTAAAACGAGACCCTGTTGCAAAGTCGCTATCACTGTATGTTTCATGATCTTCATGTTCTGAGTCTGAGTGAGATGATGAGCTATCACTCGAGTCAAGGGAAGTTTTGTACAACTCAAGAATATCACATCTACATTCACTACATGGGGTAATTGCATGTCCATGAGTCTCTGCAGTCACAGAGACACTTGCAAGATATGGCACAGTTGTCCATAGCACTCAATGACTTCAGTAAAGCTCAACTCGTCGACATACGTTGGTTCTGACATACTGTTTCATTTCATCCGAAATATTCCGCCACTGAGACATCGTCTAAATTTCATGAGAAGAGCATGTGCCTGCTTTTCTGGATCCCTGCCTGCTCCGTCCTTGTCTCTTGAATATAATCCTCAACATTATTGGCTGGACCATAGTGGATGACGGTTTCCAACACTTTGTAAGTCCCAAGCTGAATGGTGTTGAGCAATGGACTATCAAGGGACTATCATCCTCTTGAAACCATTTGGATCCATGAAGGACTCTGACACACTTCCCTGTTTTCCTTCTCATTCATACATATTCTGTATGTTGTTATGCATGATTGATGTTGAACTTTAATTGAAACTTTAGCTTGAAAATTGGCCGATTTCTTTTATGAAATTTAACTCCTATTATAAGAATAAGATCAACATATGCAAAAACAATTGTTGTTAGATGATTATTTTTTTGTAACCGATCAACAAGATCAACTTTAGTGTTTTAGTGTTTTAACTTAGCTAATGTAATGTAATACAGTGGATGTATGCATTCCTTTTTCATAAGGGCATTAACATATATTACATAATGCCTCTACCTGGGACTGCGGCCAAACTTACAAAATTAACCCTTGTTTGAGAGTAACAAGTATCAAGTTCATGATGATTGTAGAAGTGATTGTATGTATTCATAAATGTGACACATGCACATTTTGAAATGTTAATATTTGTGCTTTAACTTTGATTTGATGAATATCAAATTAGATATTGTATACACTTTATAGCTACTTGTGATCAGTGCACATTTTTATACCTTTAGATTGTGCAGTTTCATAGTGGTTAGTAAGAATATTTTGTGAATTTATACTTGTTTTATCACAAAACATGTGAATGAGTGAATGTCGTCTCATACTGCAGTCAGCAATATTGCAGCCATATGAAGGCAGCCTGTAAACCAGTAATTGATACGCACACCATCCTAGTACATAAAACATTCGCTCTCCATGCCTATTTATGGTGTCCCCGTCGTGATTTTGCTGGGATATTGCCAAAAGATGCGTAAATCCATGCTCTCTCAATTCAACATGCCATGCCTTGACAGACAAAACGAAATACAAAATATAACATTTATACTTACAATTTTGCAATGCAGTGTGCTTCATCAATGAAAATTGCCATCAAAATCTTCTCTTTAGTCAGGCTGTGTTCCAAGAACTGTCTCTGGACTTGCAAATATTATTATGTCAGTGTCAGGGTGAAAAAACCGTCACAGTAGCATGGTTGGAGTTATTAAGTTTCTTAAACACGAATGGTGCTAATTCAAAAGTAAGTGATTTTCCTGATCCTGTTGGAGAAAAAAAAGGACATCCTTTCCTCTGAGGTAACTTACAATGACTTGTCTTTGATGATTCCTGAAGTGATCAATTATGTAACTGCATTACCTTCCATACCAACAGTTATACATGTAGTTAAGTTAAATAGAGGGCGTATATACTTAAAACACAACATCAATCCTTTGTTCCGTTCAGCAGTGTGTCAAGATTCGTGATGGCTAGCTTGAGGTGGCTAGACTTGCTTTTTGTATGCATTACTAGATTATTTTTTTAAATGAAATAAATATATTCCACGGTCATTGGTGCAGGACTAATTGTGTATATCACCTGAATTTTGGTCAATACCTGAAATACTCAGTCGCCAATACAGCCCC